CAACCTCTACATTGTATCCAGGTTTCAGTTTTGTCTTCCAATTCTTCCTAATCTGTTTCACTATTTTACAGTTTGGTACTTAAGTATCTTTCAAAGGCCATGTGTTAAGTGCTTAGTTCCAAGAGTGCCAAACTGTTATAGAAAATGCCTGTGCCCTTGAAGGGGACACAGGGATCCTTTTCCTTCCTTTACTTTTGGCTTCTATTAGGTGATTGCTCTGTCACATGCTTCCTGTCATGTCATGCTCTTTCACTATAGGGCCCAAAGCAATAGGCCTAACTTGTCATGGACTAAAACTTCCAAACCTCTCATTTGCAATACACAGTAATCTCTTTATAAGTTGATTATTTTAGGTACTTGTTTCAGTAATGGAAAGTTGATTAACACACTGATGTTCTGAACTGAATCCTCTGCCCAGTGTGGCCATTTTTCTTACTTTTTCAACTTCTCCTTTTTCCAAGCAAGCTCTTTTCTCCCCTCAGACTAAAGCGCTAAACTGCAAGTATTTTCTTATCATTTTATTGAAGAGGTTAATTTTGTGTCTTGAAATATATTTTTAGGGACAATGGATACAACAAGTTTACTTTTTGGCATCAAGTAGGGCAAGGAGCTTCTTACAGAATGTATCTCCCCTCTATTTATATGCTGTAGCTCTAATCCTGCCATGTGACTGCATTTGGAGATAGGACCTTAAGGAAGTAGTTAAGATCAAATGAGGTCATATGTGAAGCCCATTTAAGTAGGATTGGTGACTTTAAAGGGATACCAGAGGGGCTGGGAAGGTGGCTCAGTGGTAGAGCACTTGCCTTGAATGCATGAGGCCCTGGGTTGGATTCCTCAGCATCACAGAAGCAGGAAAAGCCAGAAGGGGCACTGTGGCTCAAATGGTAGAGCTGCTAGTCTTGAGCTGAAGAGCTAAGGGCCAGTGCAGAGACCCAGAGTTAAGGCCCCACGACCTACAAAAAAAAGTGACAAAAAGGGATACCAGAGTGCCTTCTCTCTGTTTGCTTGAGCATGAAACAAGGAAAAGCCATGTGTGGATACAGAGAGAAGGTGATTTTCTATAAGGCAGGAGGTGAATCTTTGCCCCAAAGTGAATACTCTAGGACTTTAATCTTGGATTTGTAGCCTCTAGAACTGTAAGAGTTTGTTGTTGCTGCTGTTGTTGTTATAGTAGTCCTCCTCTTATCTGTGATGACTGTTGGTAGATGCCTAAAATAGGGACAGCATCAATTTTTCTTTTTTTCTCTCTCTACTATACATATATATATATATATATATATATATATATATTTACATACAAGTTACTTTCAGATTTCATTCCCTAATGTGTGAGGGAGGAAAAATGAGTGGTATTTGAAGTTACTGTGAAGAATAATGAGAAAACATATTTGAAATAGGCATATATGTATATATACATACATACCTTTTTTCTTTTTTTTTTTTGGATCCGGTCATGGGGCCTGAACTCTGGGCCTGGGTGCTGTCCCTCAGCTCTTCAGCTCAAGGCTAGCGCTCTACCACTTGAGCCATAGCACCACTTCTGGCTTTTTTCTTTTTGCTTATGTGGTGCTGGGGAATCGAACCCAGGGCCTCAGGCATGCAAGGCAAGCACTTTACCACTGAGCCACCTTCCCAGCCCCCGTATCTTTTTTCTTATAGATGCCTATGATAGTTTAATTAGCAAACTAATTTAGAATGTCAGGCTCAGTGAGAAATTAAGAACAAACAATAATAAAGTAGAAAATTTTGAATACTGAAAGCTATTTAAAATCCAAAAAATTTATTTCTGGAATTTTCCATGTAATATTTTCAGACTGGTTGGCTTCAGGTAACTGAGATCTCAGAAAGTGAATGCACCAATAAGGGACAAAAATGTATAATTATTTGATTTTTGCTATGGCAGCTTGAACTAGTTCATGCTGTGCACTGAAAACATGGCCTCTACCCTTCAAGCTGAGGAAGATTCTCAAGCTAAGCAGCTGCAGACTTCTCTGAGTGAGAAGCTCATTAACTTTAGATTGGGGTTCACAATCAAACTTTCTTTTGTTACCACCATTCAGCTACTCCATCCTTTCCTTTGCTCAAGGCAACATCATTGCAAGTGTATGTCTCTGAACACCACAAGCAAATGTTTTAACCTCCCAGTCGGTACGGCATACAGGCATCTTATCAGAAAGCCTGAGTTTTTAAGACCTTTTGCATCCTCTGTCAACACATCTTTCACTCTGGCCTCCATCTTGCTTTTTACTTGGTCTTATCTCCAGTCTTTATCTGGTTTACAGAAGAGGAAATAGGCTCAAAAGTTAAGCATCATGAGCAAGGTTGCATAACTGGTAAGTAATAGAACTAGAGTTCAAACCCAGTTCAGTTTTTACCAAGTCTAGCTTGCTTAATAGAAGACTTGTTTAGTGCTCTTTTCTCTCCTGCTAGAATTTACAATGATATTTCTGTGCTATGGCTATGCAAATTACATGTATATGTGGAGACTGTCTTATGATTGTTACTACACTGTGGTTCTCTGAGGGAACACTATGCTATTCTTCCTTAGCTGTTGGACAATAGTTACTCATGTCCCTTCAAGAATAGGTACTGACTTAGAGCAGGGAGTTGCTGGCTCACACTTATGATACTATTCAGATTGAGGTTTGAAGTCAACTAGAAAGACAAATCCAAGAGACTCTCATCTCCAAATAACCATTAAAAAAAGGGCAGAAGCAGAGGTGGGGCTTAACCATAGAGCACCAGGGGTAAGTGAAAAAAGTGGAGAGTGCGAATTGCCGAGTTCAAGGCTCATCAAGTCATACACCGCCCTCCCCGCCCTCAAAAAAAAAAAGTATTGATCATTGACTTGAAAATGGAAAATAATTGTCCTAGTGGTGAAACAAGGAATAGTAACCTACCAGGGAGGGAGATTTAGAGAAAGCCTATAGTATGAAGAGACGGTTCTGAGTTAAGTTTGACCTGTTGGAGATCTTGGATAGGCTGTGGGCCTCTGTGTCATGGGGTTAGAACTGAACCTGTTGAAGGTACTGTCTTGGATGGCCCTGTTATTTCTGTATCAGGGCCAGTTGTATACACAAGTTACTTTCAGATTTCATTTCCTAATGTGTGAAGGAGGAAAAATGAGCACTATTTGAAGTTACTATACGGAATAATTAGACCATCCATTTAAAAGCTTGAGCCTTATTGCTGAGGTGGATTATGTGTTATTTAGTACACTATGAGAATGCTAGTAGTAAAAAGGTAACATAGCTGTTGATGGATTAAAAAATTACAAATAGTACTCAATTTACAGAAAAACTTCAGAGATGAGTATTGGGACTCTGAATATATATCTGACTGTCTCATGTCAGAAAACTTGAAAACCTGGCTGAAGTACAGACTTGAACTCTGGGAGTAGGTTTACTTGGAGAAAATTCCCGTTTCCTTTCTGGATAGGTTATAAAGGAATGGGTTCATTCCTTATCTTTCAGTACTTTGGTTTCCTTACCCTTGGGCAGTAAATTGGATACTGTATGTAAAGCACCCAGAACAAAACATGTATATGAACAGTAGGTACAAAGACTAGTGATGTGTCAATGCTGAAGCCCAGTTATGAGAGGGGGTTCTTCTATTTTCATTATGGTGGGGTCCTTGTGACAGCAATCCTTGCTTCACGTGAGAATTTGCCAAAGAAAACACATTCTCAGGCCCATTCTACACCTCCTAAATCTAAAACTCCGGAGGTAAGCCCCACAATCAGTGCTTTTACAGTCCCTCCTGGCCAATCTGAGGTACTCATCTTTGAGAACACTTATTACCTGTAAGGTAATAGGGAGCCACTGAACGTTTCTGGCCCGGTCAGGAATATAATACAGATGACTGTTGTTGAAACAGGATCAGATTACCTTAACCTATCCACCAGTTCCCTTCGGAGGTTACAGTTAGGAGTTCATCTGTGGTCCTAGGCAGGTACAAAGCACTAGGCTGGTCAGAGACTCTCTCTGAGTACTGTAAGGCACTTCCAGGAGCCCTGTCATGAACAGGCAAACTTCCAGGAACCGGGGGAGCAAAGTGATGCTCAGCAAATCCCAACACCACAACCTTGTCACACAAACTTAGCCTGGAAGAGAGAGAGAGAAGGAAAGGAAAACAGTGTAGGCAAACCGGAAGCAAGGGTCTTAAGAGAATCTCCTCTGAGTGGGGGGGATGGGGAGAGGTGGCCTAGGACGGAGGGAGCCCCTGTCCCACTCGGATGCGCCCCGCTTAAGTCCCCTTTGGAGCCGGACAGGACTGACACCCCGTCTCCCGGAGCGATCCGAGGGTGCCGGCGCCCTAGGGCTTCGGGGTCCAGGTCAATGTCTTCCCATTCATTGTCAGAGCCAGGCAGGGGCGTATCCCCCGTCCCGGCACCTCGGGGGAGGGGGACCTACCCCCCTTAGGGCGGGGCGCCCCACGCGGGGGAGGGGGCGCATCCGCGCTCCCGTCGGGCCAAGGGCGGG